ATACGGCGTTCGTAGACCGAACGAACACGGAACGCGCCTTCAAGTGATTTAATGAACTACTACGGCCTACGATATGCCTGAGTGCCTACTGGATGGTTCTCACTGTAACACTGTCGCATGTAGCGTGTCCATGCAGCGCCTCAAAGTGTACTGTATTGAATAATACGACAATGGGGAAACCCGCCTTGTCTATTTAAGCGCTTGGTTGATATCCTCTTTGCTAAGACTGTTTATTTGTGAGAAACTGGTAAACTGGTTGTACACAGTGAACAACATGTCAGCAAACGTTTACAAATGAGTACTCCTGAAATCAGTGAAATAGTGAGCTGATTGTGGTCTTGTTAGCAAAATCAGGCAAGGTTCATCGTTGTCGGCGTGAGAAATAGTACTGGCGGAGCAGTCGCGTTACTTAATGTGTGGTCATCATGTACTGTTTCAGATTGGTGTTTGGATCGATGCTGGTTCAAGGTATGAAAACGAAAGGAATAACGGAACAGCTCATTTTCTTGAGCATATGGCCTTCAAGGTATGCACCAGTTTTCATAGTGAAGCTTGAAGTGAATGACTGAATTGTAACGCTTTCTTTTCCTCTGAAGCTTAACTGCAGGGAACGTCTCGTCGTACGAGAAATGCGCTAGAGCTAGAAGTGGAAAATATCGGAGCTCATCTAAATGCGTACACTTCACGTGAACAGACTGTTTACTACGCTAAATGTTTCTCTACTGATCTTGAGCAATGTGAGTCTTGTCATAACCTGGATCTGGTTTTAGTTAGACAGGTTACGTTGGAGTGAACGTTCTTCTGAGAGGCCAAGCTGTAGTGACTCCGATGCGGGAGAGGAGTTGTGGGCAGGGTATACCGTCGCGATGAGGAAAATTGCTTGTTCAGTACAACCCTCGTTACATCGTCAGTAGCCCGCAAAAGTCTGCCTTCAACTTTCTCATGTACATTTACTAACAGGTTCCCAGAGTTCGTCGACGTCAGGGGACAAACCCCTTCCGGGGAGGAGTCCTTAGCTCATGACATATAATAGTGATGAAGGGAGGGACAGCATTGTGGAACTTGGAAGAAGTCTTTTCGGGGAGGTCCTATTCGATCGAGTTGAAAAGCAAGGTCCTAACGGGCATTCTATGCTATACTTCATGGAACTGATCTTGGTCTTGAAAGTGGGCTATGCTTGCTCTCAGTTCGATATTGTATCAGGTGATCAAGGTCTCCTAGCTT